GCTTTCTCGCCTTCTGAGGCTGAGGTTCAGTTGACCTCTTGCCTTCCGCTGCAGCCCTCCAGGCTGTGGACAGGTCCTTGCTTCCGGTGGTGGAAACACCTCTGCATCTTGACGTGTAAGTGCAGGAGTGAGCCCTTTGCATCCGTATCGTCTTGGCAAGCCGAAGATCCGACAGACTCTGCACCTCGGCCCAGCTCAGGCCTTCCGGAGCCGAGCTTTCGTCAGGCTCTATCTCACTTGCTTTCTCCTCCGCCGAACCCTCGCTTGCTGACACCTTGGCTCCCTCAGTGCAGGTCGAGGTTGACGGCGCGGACACGGAGGTAGCAGCAGCTCACCTGGCCGAGCTCTCCCCTGCTAGCCTGGGCCTCGTCACTGGCAGTGGTCCTCACCCAGGTTGAGGTCTCGCTTTTAGGCGTCTGGGCCCTAGAATATGCCAAAAGCATCACGTTCTTTTCCCATCTGTGAAGTTTTGCTCTTTCCCACAAGGTGAGACTTGGGGCCCTCCTTTCTTCCGGTTCACCACCTATGTAGATATAGTCTCGCTCCAGTAGCTTTAGTTTGGAACCCAAGTAGGGAAAACTGTCTGTCCATCAGTCGCTGCGCTCACACTGTCTTTTCTTCGAAGCTTGAAGTACAACAGTGCAGAAGTGCGAGTTTCAGAGTTTTCCCTTGCGATTCACGTTTGGAGGTGTTTCCTGAAGTTTCGAGAAGCATGAACAGCATACGCTTTCAGCTTGCTTGTTTCTCTGTTTGTCTTGGTGCCTGAAGGCATCTGAGAACGCACCAGGTGCAAAGAAGCTATTAAGACTCTGTAGGAAAGAGTGTGTTGAAGCTTCTGCCCTTCATTTTGGCTCAAGGTCTGCACTGCGTGACAAGCGTGTGGTGTGACAGTCAGGTTGCAGAGAACCGTGTGAGAAAGTGTTGTGCGCGCTTTCAAGTTTTAGGTCTGTTGTGAAGTGTAGGACTTGTTGTTGGACACGGTTTGTCAGTCGGCAACCTGCAGCGTTGTAACCCTCGCCTCTTCTAAACCTAGCCTAAGTGAAGCGCCTCAAGGCGCGTTCGGGTTTTGACGTGACTGGTTGCGTGTGGGAGTGGATAGGAAAATGCTTTGTGGAACGTGGCCAGTTTTACTTGTTGGACTCTGACCCTCAGTTTGAGAATACTAGTCCGCGGTTAAATGGTCAAGAGTTTTTCATACTTACACAAGTAAGAATCAAAAGTAGATGTACATCAGAACTGATTGTAGCATCATTCTTTTTCTGATGACGCATTACTTGCAGAGATGTGAAATGGGCAAAAAATCCAGCATGCGCAACAAACCGCGCAGCGTAGCTTTCCTCCAACCTTCCATCGCGCAAGCCATAGCTGCAATTTTGAGAACAAGCGATACGCTGGCAAGACTTGTGTATCTCTCTTCCATTGCCATTCCGGACTGACACCTCTGCCTCAGAAACAAGACCATTTCCACACAGCAACCTGGAAACCTCCTTTGTTTAGCAAAGTTGAGACGGAACTCATTAGAGTGAACTGCGCAAGACTCCAAGAGACCTGCTGGACACTTCGCTGTTTGGTTCAAGTGAAAAGAGTTTGCTTCGCTTTTTCAAAGAAGCCGTCAGCCTCTTGAGTGTCCGTGCTAGAGCAGTGCTGGAACTTTTGATTTTTTCATACTCGGCTCAACATTGAAAGCGATTGGGAGATTGATATGAGACAGGGCATCTTGATTTGTGTAGTTGGTCCTATTTTCATGCTTGAAATAGTGATTGGGAGATGTGTGACAGAAGAATTGTGACATCGAGGTTATATTTCCAAGTGAAAATATGAAGATTGCGATGGTTTTGATGATGACGATGCTTGCCGACAGCAACTGTGGTCTTTGTGCTCTTCCTTACATGGGGCCTTGGGTCAGGTGCCGGATGTACAGCGGGTGTGGAAGGTATTATGCCATAACGGCAACTTACAGTGGTTGCCGATTGACATGGATGTTACATGAGCTTGGATTGTCGTGGTGATTTACCCTTTCAAAGTTCACGGTGCACGGTTACAAGCCGAAATCTTGCGGTAGAGGCAGAAGGTTGATGCCCAGCATGCCGATGAGTGGCGATGGTGGCAAAACAAGGTCATAACTTTGGAAGCGAAGTTCGAGCACTTGAGGCAGTACTTGGTTGAGGAGGAGAAGGGGCAGGAGTACAAGTACGTGATCAAAATGCACGTTAGTGCAAAGCGTGATCTCTCTCGAGAGATCGGGCAGCTGAGGACACAGCTGCAAGCTTCGTACAGGGAGTTTATGAAGGCGCGTGAGCGCATGGCTCCGCCAGGCAATATCGTGGTGATGGGCCGTGGACGAGACAACCACCATGAAGGATGCCTCCATGTCTCCAGGACATACAATCAAATCAATGTGTTCAGCATGGGCAGAAGGTTGCCGTGACATGTTTATGGATGACTATGTGCCAATTGCGGATGCCAAGTTTTGCGGTATCCAGGAATGTGAGAATGGAATGAGCTCCAATTTACGGGTGCCAGGCCTTGCGGTGCCCAAGAGCGTGGCTTGTTCCGGGTTACGAGCATCAAGGCCCCGTTACGGTGTTCAGGCATGTGAAAGTGAAAACCGTGTTAGGCATAACAAACTTCAAACTTTGTACGCTGTGCAAGCTGTGAGGAGATGAAGCATAACCTTTTGTACACACGTTGCTTGCGTAGAAGTTTTACACACGTGAGGCCGTTTTTGGCATGAGCCCAATTTCACGTTCAACATGTTGTGAATTGCAGAACTCCGCCGAACCGAAAGCTCCAACCAGTTCGGAAAAGTCCGAGTTTTCTACAGTTCCGAAGCGTTCATCGGCGCCATGTGTGCAACCAACAGGGATTTGGCTGCATGCGAAATGCGTCCGTGCCAAAAAAGCTCTTACAACAATCACATGCATGTGTAAGAGCCGTCCGGCGGGCATCATTGAGGCCCCTGGCGCATCGCAAGGGTCGCAAAAAATGCAGATTAGGGCCCGTGTGCCCTGAATTTGCCCAAATGCAGCTGTTGGGAACAATTTTAAATCTTCAAGTTCCAGTTGTTCCATGGAAGCGTTACTGCTTGGTTTGTCCAGGCAGAGCGATGACTTTCTCAGATTTGGAGACAACCTTGATTAGATTCCCTGTGATGTGTGTTATACGTGGTAGTGCTGATCTTTTCTGCGGCTCGCCACTGTTGTTTGCATGCCGTTGTCCGTGGCGAGCTGATGTGGCCATCGTGAATTTTTTTGCAGGTTTGCTTTGTAAGACGTAAGGATCGGAAACACTGATGTGCATGATGGTACTTCAATGTGGACGGTAACGTGTTTATGGCTCTGGTGCGGACACAGGGCACCTGGCCCGCCCCTGAATCGGGCCAAATGGAAAGCATCTTGGATCCATTGATTCTTTTGCTGCGGCAGTTGCTGGTGAGGAAGCATGCAAACGGCATAGTTCATTCAGTTGAGCAGAGCAACAGTTGAGGTTGTTCTGAGATATAGTACATCCCGGTGGCAACAAGGCCACTTTGCAAGTGCAACCGTCATCCAGCAAACATGTGTTTCTTGTCATAGCTCCAATCCTTCCGGTGAGTACAGGCTTACATCACGCGCAGGCCCTTTGGGGCTAAACTGTGTCTGTCTCAGATGACTTTGGTCGTTTGTGCAGCAAGCAGGTCAAGATCCATGTCCCATGAATTACGGCTACATCACATGCCGCAATGTTTCCCTGCACGTATTATTGGTGCTAATCTTCTTTTGTGTTGCGGACTATTGCCACGGTGCATGTTTGGCCTCGTGGTGACGATACACGTTTCAGCATTAAGCTAGAAGGAACATGACAAGTAGCTCATTTGTGGCTACGTCGCCTGTCTGACGCGATGCTAAGGCGGGCATCTTGCAAATCATGGCAATGTCCTCAGAAAGACGTTGTTGCAGCGACAATGTAGATGCTGCTGTTCAGGTTGTCCCTTGGTTTCTCAAATTTGCTGTTTGCAGAGGCAAGGCTTGCCGCCTTCACAATTCTATGCTTAGCTGATGCGCACCAGGACGCTGCCTCAGGGACCACGAACCGGCCTCTTAGTCTCATTCACAAGAAGCATGGGAAACATGGACACTGATAGCCTCCTTGTGCAGCCAGTATGGTTTAGAGTTTTAGGGTGTTTGGTTTGAGATCCCTAAACCCTAAACCGCTTCAAGACTGGAGGTGGGCTCGCCGAGGTTTCCACAGCAGGACTGCAACCTCCGATCTAAGTGATATGAAGGACGAGCCTGCGGAGCCAAGCACGCGGCTTCCACCTCATCGAAAGATCCTGTTTCAGACATTTGATCTGCGTGCTCGACGGCAGAAAGCGGCTATCGGCAGAAACTTGAGAATAATCTGTTGAATTGTTACGTTGATTCGGTACATTTTTTTCCCTGTGTGTCCTGATGTCGATGCCTGTATCATCTTCGTGTTGATTGTTGTGATCATGCTTTTGACCAATCAGTAGTAGTGGTCGTAGTCTTTCTGCTATTCTTGCTACATGCATTGTCCAAATCATGTTAGGGTCTTTAGCCCTACACATTGGGATGCTTTGGGGAACGGCTTGAAAAACGAACCTTGATTTTTCAGAAATACCCCACCCAACTGGAGAAAGCTCTGGGAGGAGGAAGCCGGGCTGCTGCAACCAGACCAGGCCTGTTTCGCCAGTTCTCTCGAAATTTAGGATTACCCTATTCAGTGATTCTTGTAGCACGGACTCGTGGATCCCATGTTTCAAAGTCTGTATCAGTTTCCCTATTGCTGGTATAATCCTTTTGCTTCAGGGTCTTCAGGTCTTGCAGAGTCTCGTCGCAGGTGCAGGAGTACGAGCAGGGTGAAGTCTTTTTATGGCGTGAAGTCGATAGTATAGTGCTGGTTCCGGCAATTGTGCGACAGCAGGAACGTCCGCCGTGACAAGAACAGACAGACAACGAGAACGGACGAGGGGTCGCTGAGTCTAGAAAGAATCGGAAGATCTATGCACTCAGAACTCTGTCTGCCTTGGTTCCGATGCCTCTCACAGCTCCAGGAACCTGCACCATGTGATCCGGTAGTTTCTTCAGACGCGCGGGTCAACTCTACCGCCCGCCTTTGGCCACAAAAGGTTGGCCAACTGCAAAGCCTCCTTGGGCTTGGGACAGCCGTGGAACACCATCGCCTGGTGTGTGTTACTTGTTGGTAATACAACACGAAATTCCAAGCTCGAGTCTAGTCTAAATGTAACACCCTTTTTCGGGACGGCAGTGGCCACATCTCGACTGAACGGGACTGTTTGAGGCAGGAGCATATGATGAGGCCCCGACGGCTCGCAGCAGCTGCATCAGCCGCGAGCCCGATAGTGAGCTGTACCATCGGGAAACTTCGTACCACGCCTCATATTCATCAACAGTTTAGGGGTTTTTTGCTGCTTTCGTCAGATCTCCTGTCGACCACATGAGCCCAACTCGCCCAGCTTTCGGATTCGGCCCTGAAACCCTACAAAACAAGGCATTAAGCCCATCCAAAACCCTTGAGCCCTTCAGCCGAACCGAAAAGAATCCGAACTCCTAAACTTTTCCCAACACTTGCCAAGTCGAACTCTTGGCCACACCTCGGCGGGCAACATCGGCCGTGATTTCGACTCTGTGAGGATCTCATGGAGGGCCTCCGAGATCAGGTCTCCCACAGTGCGTTTCGGGCTTCGGGCTTCGGATGCTGTGAGGGTTTGGGGTCTCGGCGCTACGGGCTTTGCGTCTAAAGTGTTCCGACTCAGGGTGTCAGGCTCCCGCGCCTGGAGGAACTTTCCCCAGGTCTCGTCTGGCTTGCGGGACCAGTGCGCTCGATTCTTCGACAGCTCGCAGAGTGCCTGGGACCGACTCGCCGAGATTTGGGGGTTTTGGAGCTTTGTTGAGGCTTTGGGGCTCTTTGGGGTTCTTTGGGGCTTCGAGTTTAGGGTTATGAAGTTTTGGACTTTGGGCTTTGGGGCTTTGGGGCTATGGGACTTCGGGTCTTGGGGTTGAGGGTTTTGCGTTCAAGGGTTCGGCGGTTTCGGGTATCCGGTCTTGGGTTTAGGGACAAGCGGGGCTTTCTCAAACGCCGTCTATGGCCCCGGCCGCAATCAGGAGCATGACCTGCGAAACGGCAAAGCAGCAAATCTTTCATGCAAACCTTTAGGGGACATCCTGGCTTCGGAGAGTTTGAGTCTGACCTGCCTGCTTCGAGTTCAGCTGCAAAGCATCCGCAGTGGGCCGGAGGTTCTCATCCATTCTGCCAGAATCGCTGTCAAGACACTCGGAACCCTCGTCTGGAATTCAGCGCAGTGCAGTGCAATGGCACTCAGAGAACCCGCCCAAGAAGCCTCATCGACATCCCCCATGCCCATGCGACACTTGAGGCGTTCAAACGGCTCCTCCACCGAAACCCCAGGCCTCGGCCATCCTTCGCCCTGCGGCGACCCGGGTCTGGCGCCTCAGGGCTTCGACTTTGCTTCGGGAGCTCCCTATAAAATCCGGGCTCTCACAGAAAAAGCAAAGAGGTCCACGACAGAGCACAGCCGAACGATGAGAATGCCGATAACATGATGAAGATGAAGATGAAAATGGAGATGATGACGATGATGATGCTGATGATGACGATGAAGGATGATGATGAAGATGATGTAGACGCTAATGATGGCAGCGGCAGTGCTGGTGGCGTTTGTGGTGGCGGGTGGTGGAGACGGTGTCGCTGGGGCTGGCAGAGTTGGCGGTGCTGGTGACTGCTGCAGTTCGGATCATGATCTTGTTGGTGTGATCTTGGTATGTCATTTCCCTTGTTTCTCTGTTCGCTTCTCGTGCGGCTACTATCACTGCGATCACAACTGTTGTGAGGACTCCTGGTGCCCGTGCCCACGCAAGTCTCTCTGGATCCCATAACCCAAGCCCTAAAGGCTACATCCAAGCCCAAACTGTCACGGTCGACTTTGGGATCAGAAGGAAAAGCCCAATCGTCCCTGAAGGCTCTCTAACAGGATCCTAGTACCTTTGAAGGTTGTAGGAGGGATTCAAGAGTGTGTTCGGGGGTCAAACATACGGGGACGCAGCTTCTGAAGGGCAGGTTTTCATGGCAGACTGTAGCGTACAACATACAGCTATTTGTCATTATCAATACATTCAATAGATTGACTGATTGACTCACTAAGGCTCCTCCAAAACCTTGCAAGTGGCCAGCCGAAGCCAATCCCTTCGTTGGCGAAGCCAAACCCTTTGTCGGGGAAGGCGAGGTAACCAGGGGCACCTGAAGACATGGTCTCACAGGACGTCAAGGCGCGCGAAAACCAGCAATCAGAATCTGCTGGAGGGTTCGGGCTCTTAAACTGTACTTTGCATCTAGAACGTGTCAAAAGTCTTCCGACAGCGTTTTCAATCAAGGCTGCTGACACAGGCCTAAGAGACTTTCAGTTTGTTGTGAACAGCAGGTTCCCTTCTCTGCGCCCTGAAGCTCAACTATCTGTCCTTGAACATTGTACCTTCTGCAGGCGAGCCGTGCTGCTTAGGTGCTCGGATCCTATGTCGCCCTATGCCGACCCACATGGTGCCACAATGAAGCCTGAAGCAAACATACTCAAATCGGATGATCCTCTTTATGTACACTGCCACATGGATAAAAGATGATGCTCAAGTCACCACTGGTTTAATTTCCACAAATGGTTCCAGCACAGACCTACGAATACTCCGACTCGCCGAGAAGTCCTACTCAGTCTCATTGCCTGGACTCAAGCGCAGTTGCTTTCAGCAAGGCTCAGGACACGTTATGGGCAGTATGCATGATCCAGTTGCGACTTCTCCTTCGTATCGCTTAGAATCATTCTATTCAATCGCTGCGAGCTGCGACTTCAAAACAGTCCCACAAAAAGGAGACTTTAGAGGGATACACAATGCAATAACCCCACCTGAGGGTTAGCTGCTCCACACCTTTAATCGAGTTTCCCAGCTCCTGCCTTCGCAGGCATGCCACTCTCAACATCGGCTCGGGCCGTGCCTGACTGTGCCTGATCTCAAATCTTCTGCAGAGATGGCATGCAGATCTCGCCCTGCTCTAAACCTAAGACCGCACAACCCCAGAAACCCTCCCAAAGTCCCGAGACTTCACCTAGAGCCCGCAGGGGGGGAACAAGGGCCTCTCTCAGCTGCGCCAACCGCGGAGCTGCCAGCGCAAGCAGGGATGCTGCACCGATACTCAAAGTGGAGGATGCCAGCCTCGTAATCCGAAGGCTAAGACCGGAGAGGGGTTTAGGGTTTAGGTTTGGGGTTTAGGATCTCGATTTTTGCTAGAACAGCCGAGAACCAGCTTCCCGGAATCGGGGTCCTGCACGAGCAAGAGCTTGCTACTTAGGTCGGGCCCATATGAGATCGTTTCAGAGCTGACGACACCCCGTGACACGCTGTCTCAGGTGGCGATGAGGAGCTCAAGGGTGGAGGCCTTTTCTTTTCTGAAAGGTTTGGCGGCAGGCCTTTTTTTGAAAGGTTTGGCGGGACATGGTTTGGGTTCGCCTGTGCGTCAAGCTATTGGGGGATTCTAGCTTTCAGGGTTTGTTTGCGCGTCAAGCTATTGGGATTCTAGTTTTCGGGGTTTTATTTGTGCATCAGGCCACTGGGGGATTCTAGTTTTCAGGGCTTGCCTGTGCGTGAAGCTATTGAGAATTTTACAGCTGCTGGTGCTGGTGCTTGTCGTGCTGCTGCTGCTGCTGCTGCTGCTGTTCCTGGTGCTGCTGCTTGTCGTGCCGCTGCTGCTGCTGCTGCAGATGCTGGTGCTCATTAATCTTAGACACTCTCATTTGGCGATTCCGGTTCAAGATACATCCTAAACATGCCCCCTCATGCGGTGAATCCGGAATATTATATATATATAGATATATCAAACACGCCCCCTCATTTGGCGAATCCGCTTCATTATAATCTTAAACTACCCTCTCATTTGGCGATTCCGGTTCAACATATATCTTAAACACGCCTCCTCATGTGGCGATTCCGTTTCACCACCCCCTTATTTGGCGATTCACGCCCCATAATTTGGTGATTCCGGTTCATCATATATCTGAATCTGCCCTGTCATTTATATAGTTGCAAAGGATCGATAGTTTCATCTGCGGGGAGAGGCCAGCATGTCCACAGTTAGAAACGGAGTGAGGCTTCAGCCTTTTTTGTTCAGCAGGATGTATCGTCGCTCTTAGACTCGAAGGGACTCATGCTGCCTGTGCATCGCCATTGCATTCTGGATGCTTTTCTCCCTGCCTTTGCTGCAAAAGTCTTGCCGAGTGGACGATGTCTCATCGCCGTCGTGCACTTGGCAGGCAGCCTCAACATGAGTTTGTTCTGGCGGCTAAGGCACACCAAAATGGTGCTGTTCCAGCTAGCCTTTTGGCACCATGGTGGCGTGCAGTTGGTCACTGTCTGCTACCATGGGCAACATTTTCGGACATGCATCACGAGTATGCGTATTGCACGAATGCCGGTGGACGCCTTCCAGGACACTTGAGCAGGGCAGAGGCTGCATTGTAAATGACTCAGGAAACCTTTGTCAGAGTGCAATACGAGAGCTACACACACACACATATATACATATATATATATGTATTATATTATATTTATGTTTCATTACACATGGTCAGTATCTGCTGTCATCTGCAGCCCGAAAGCCGATGGCCCCGACTCTCAAGTGCCCGCACATCCACTGGCCCTGCAGACTTTGCCTGGCTCTGACACACCTGTCTCGGAGAGCTGGCATCCTAGGGCCCCTGAGAGCCCGAATTAGTCATGGAGTCTTTGCCTCAGTTTTGCCTCAGTTGTCTCATGCCGAGGAGGCTTTGTGCGAAGGGCTGAAGCCAACCGAGTGATCTGAAGCCAGCTTCCTCGGCAAGCAGATCAAATTGCAGCAGGGAAGACCCGCGCAGCAGGCAGCTGTACGTAGAATCCCGAGTGTTCCTAGACACGATGAACCTGAGTACGTGCCGGGAGCATGACCAGGTACCGCGCAGCAAATTGTCCGTCTTGCAGAGCTTCAGAGTCTTTTGATTGACAGCTCTGCAAGTCTTTCAGCAGATCTCTCAATTCAGCACACCCTCTTGGAGCCAACATGTCATGAACAAAACAGGACCTTGCAAGGTGCTGACACCAAGATCTGCTCCCTTTGTATTTAGTGCGTGCTGGGTTGCATATCCCGCGTGTCCGTCATCTACCATGCAACAGTGCAGCCCGGCACGCATTCTGCAGAAGCTCGAGCCGTGAGAGCGGTGGGAAAGGCTGATCTCATAGTGATCGAAGCAGAAAGCTGATTACAGTACAAGTCGCAGTCACAACAGCAGCTGAGAGAGTATTGGGAACACAGCTAGGAACAGCAGTACACCGGTAATAGTTGTGGTGCTAGTGTTGGTACTCGGATATTGTATCCTCACGATTGTCGGTCGTGCTAGCACTAGTTAGCAGCAGCAGCAGTAGCAGTAGC